CATGACGAGCTCAAGGAGGCTTCTCTAAACCCCGAAACCCCTAAACCCCGACACCCCTAAACCCCTCAACCCCTAAACCCCTAAATCCCTAAACCCCTCAACCCTCAACCCTAAGCCCCTAAACCCCTAAACCCCTGAACCCCTAAATCGATTCTGATCCCCAGGCCTTCGAAACCCTACACCCTAAAGCCTTTTTATGGTTCTGAGGATCCTGCTTCAGTTTTCTTTTGCAAGGGTTCTGTGGAGTTCTAGAGGGTTCTATAGGGTCGATGGTTAAAGGGTGTTTGAGACAGTTGGTGCTTGCCCAAGATCCCAAAGCCTGAATCCACCGCTCAATGCGAGCCCAAGCAGCAGTTTGAGAGGTCTAGGGATTGGGGCTTCTCCAACCACCACGCCCCAAACACAACCCGTACCTGCAAAGAGCTGCATGAGAAGGCTTCCTTTTTCATGAGACACCTACATATCCCTTTGAAAAGCAAGTAATGCAGGGGCTTTAATAATTAGAGTAAGGTTTCTGGGGTTCCTTATTGTACTTCTAGGATAATATACATTCCCCCCAGCCCGATTCTAAAACTTAAGGCCCCTACATCACAGTACCCTTATAGTATCCCTTTATGGTACCCCTTTTAAAGGACCCCTTTAAAAGGGAACCCTATTCTAATTAAGGCCCCTGCAGTAAACACGTCCGGTCTGCTTGGCTTTCTGCCTCACAGATTTGGGAGTCTCCGAAAATGGGGCCCCTTGTAAAATAGTAGGATCCTTATTATAAGGAAACCAGAATGAGGTACCCTTCATTTTCGGAAACTCTAAACCCTAAACCCTTTATAGAACCCTTTTAGTAACCCTTGAAAGTTGAAAGGATCCCAGAATAAGGTACCCCTAATTTTCGGAAACTCTCAAACCCTAAACCATTTATGGAATCCTTATAGCCTTATAGTAACCCCTTAAAGGACCCCAAAATAAGGTACTCCTAATTTTCGGAAAACTCGCATTTCGTCCCGAGGCTCTTCTTTCGCCTTGGAGCCTTGCAGGGGTTCGGACTTCTCCCCGGGTTTCCTCGCGGTTTGTAGGGCTGCCATCTTATTTGCTATGGATCGTTATTGTGGGGCCATCCTGCGCTACGCTGAGAAATCCGACTGCCTTCCTCGCAACCAACTCTCAGGGCATCCCGCCTGACATCGGGGCATTGCAACCGCAGACCCCGCCCTTGCCGGGGCCGCCCGTCGCGACGCCGCCCTGGCTGCATATGGTGGGGCCGACGACGCCCCCGCCGGGCGTTCGTCTGACGGGCAGATGGGTGTCGCTCGGCTGACGGTTTAGGATTTTGCCGACATTCAGAGATCGGGGGCTGAATGCTCAGGGCGAGTGGAGTCAACCCGCCCGGGAGGAGTTCCGGGACGAGTTGTCCCCTGGCTACAGCCACTGTGCGAGCCCGTCCGAGCTTAACTTAAAATGAAACTCCACAACAAGAACCAGTATAATTTAGCTGTGTCATAGGATCTACTACAGAGCCCTAGTATGGTAACTTGAAGTAAACAACAGGAAACCAGGGAGCCCAATACCCCTTGATTCAGGAATATAGCGTGAATCACAACATGAAGCCCTATATAGTTTAAAAGCCATATTCCTTAATTAAGGGGTTTTGGGCTCTCTGGGCACAAGAACCCATGAACCCTAAACCCTAGACCCTTATAGAATCCTCATAGATCCCCTTAAAGGCCCCCTGTAACCCCCACTTACGGGGTATTGGGCTCTCTGGGTAAACCCCCTAACAAGAACCCAGGGTGTGCCGGCCCGGAGCACTTCGCTTGGCCTTGGCAAGCCTTTGCGGTCGGCTGGGAGCTGCCATTACCCAGACCTTCCGAAATCCCTTAATTAAGGAACATACCTTAAATCATAGTAGGATCCCGAATATGGTTCAATATATTTTCCTTAATTAAAGGATATAGGAAGGTCTGGGTAGTTTGAGGGGTTTGAGGTTTAGGGTTCAGAATGACGCAACTAAGGAACTTGCCTTGATTAATATAAGTTCAGTAACGGCAGGAATGGCTGCATCGAATCGAACCCCAGGGAAAGTATCTCTGGCCTGACTTACTATTTCCTTATCTTCTGAAAGACCTGAACCCTCAAACGGCAAAACCCCGCACACCAAACCTTCATAGATTCCGGCTAAAAACTCCCAAAGTGGACAAGAAACCCGTATAGAACCAGTACAAGACGCCAAATGCCTCGTAGTTCACTATGGCATCAGAGCCATGTGACACGGAAATTTAAGAAACTCCGGCTTTGCAGGTGCGGCTGAACCTGGCAGGATGCAACCGACTCTCCAACCGCGGATTGGAGTCCTTCTTGGAGTCGCATAGCAGCATGTTGCGGGATGAAGGGGCTTAGGGTTTAGGGTTTAAGTTGTAGGGTCTAGGGTCTAGATTTAAGTTTTAGGGTTTATGGTTTAAGTTTTAGGCTTTAGGGTTGAGGATTTAAGTTTCAGGGTTTAGGGTTTAGAGCTTCTGTCATGGAGGGCATTGGTGATTGTAAGTTTGGGAGCTTACTAATCTCGGCGCTCAAGGGTTTTTACTATACATTTATGTTCAACATGGGGTTTCCGCCAGTTATTCCTTGAAAAGGGGACTGGAATGGGGTGTTGGGGTCTTTTGACTGTGCGTATCATATGAGTTCTAAGGAGTAGGATTTGCGTTATTCAGGCTTGTACCCTACACTCGTTGATAAGGATTCTTGAATGTTCTACGGACATATTAAGCCTTATCCTGATCGTATTAATTAAGATCCCTGCATTACTGCCTGTGAGTTGGATGTATCAGGAGCTGGCACCCACTAGCTTGCTTTGCAGGTCAGTGTGTAGGTCTCGGGTTTGGGGAGGAGTTTTGGAGGTTCCGCTTTTGGGCGCATATAGTTCGCGAAGCTTCAACGTCCCCGTAAAGCCTGAACCCTAAACCCTAAAAACACCCTAAACCAAACCCGAAATCCTAAACTCTAAGCCCTGTGCTGCGAATCCGTACGCTTTATCGAGGACCAAACCCCGTGCCCGAGACCCAAACTCATGGTGAGCCTTAGACAGCTACTTGGTTGGCGAAACGTTGGTTTGCCGTCTTTCCAACGCAAGCCATGGGCTGGATGCCACTCACACTATGGAAGCCTTCTTTTACTTCTGGAGGCTCCTCCAAAATGCTTGCGCTTCTTTGTACGTCCCACAGGCGTATGCTGCGCCCCCAATGACCTTCGGTGCTGTTGCCCTCAGCTGTGCCCACCTGCAAGCTGAGGAAAACAACAAATCATGATCAACCCAGCGGGGGTGGCGATGAACGCCAAGCAGGTGAAAAATTGTGCCCATGTGTCGCTCAGGTTGTGAGGCCGGGGCACCACGTACCTCTTGGAGTTCAATCTTTTGCTGGGGGAGGTCGCGCCGGCCCCGTCTCCGAAAGATGTGCTTGGGAAGATGGTGTCCGTGAAGTTTCAAGTCTTGAAGCACCACAGCTGGTCCATCATGTGGGAGATTCCGAAAATGGGGGTACCTTATTTAGGGGTCCTTATAATAAGGATCCTACTATTTGTTGTACTATATTAGGGTCCCCTATTCTCGGAAACCCCCAATATTGTGTGCATCCAATGCATCTGACATGCGATCTTTGCCGTTTGGACACAGGTCAGCTTGTCAGCCAATCAACCCAAGTCCTTCCTTCGCGCGCGTGATCACGAAGTGAAGCATGTTGAAATGTGTGGCAGAATGGTAGTAAGAGCAAACGTAATGGTACTTATTACTTTAGGCGAAAGCACAGTAGTAACAGTACCGGTTGAACAGCAACAGCAATAGTAACGTAATTAGAAATAGCAATAGAAATAGCAATGTCAACAGTAGTAGTAGTAGTAGTAGTAGTAGTAGTAGTAGTAGTAGTAGTAGTAGTAGTAGTAGTAGTAGTAGTAGTAGTAGTGGTGGTGGTAGTAGTAGTAGTAGTAGCAGCAGCAGCAGCAGCAGGAACCCGGTGCCCCACCCATCACACCTCCACGCTACGGTGCTCCATACATCGCGCCCCTGCAAATTGTTGCGCCCCCGTGCTGGCCGGCGTGACTGTGACTTCAAGTGCGGCTGCTGTATTGCCGCGGATGCAGACATGTTTCACCAGAGATTAAGGGGTTTCAAATATGGGGTTTGGGGTTCCGGACCATGAACGGCTTCGTCCGGACGAGACCAGAGCGGGTATCTCGCACGAGAAGGTTGCGGCCACCGTAGCGTCGATCCAGGCCTTGGCGGACGTTCAAGGTGCAATCACTCGATTTCACCCGAATCGATCCATTGAAGAGCAAATGGGATGTAAAAATCTAACAATGTCCCTGCAGACTGCCATCAATGGAGATGCGGCGAACTCCCTTCGTGCTCACCTTCGACTGCTAAGCGGACTTGCAGCCACTCAGCTGATGGGGATGGGCATTCGACAAGAAAGGCCATCACGATCGGCGCTTGCAAAGCTCATTCAAAAGCACATAAATGGGCAATTCACCGCATGAAAAGCAGATGAGGCGGTACGCGCGTTCAGTCAAATTTTCGTGAAGGTTGCGAGCTGAAGGCGTGCATCCTTCCCAATGAAGTACCAAACGAAGGTGGTGCTTGGTCCTATCGGGGCGGCCACCGTGAAAAGTTGCAGCAGACACAGCTCTGTGAAGGTACGCATGAACATTAGGCCAAAGATGTGAAGCCATCCCGGCCGCAGAGCCAGAAAAATGCGTACAATCAAGCTGGCGTGCGCTACATGAGTATTTTGCTCTCGTGCGAATGCAACCACTTGGTCCTGAGGTCTGAAGGTCCCGTTGGTCGTTGCAGCCATGTTTGCAGCATTCAGCAAGATTGCCTACCACTCAGTGATAGTGCAGGAGATTGACTAGTGATCTGCAGCCCACACATGCGTCAGCTCTTGTGACCCTGTGAATGAGGGCTCGGATGAGGCACAGCATAGTGTGGTCGCTGAAAGATTGAGTTCCCCCCTTCAATGGTGAAGAGTGAGGGATACGAGGTCGAGGGGGATGACAGTGAAGATTCGGATTCCACCATAGAGTACCAGCGCATGGTTGGTGGCATCTCCAAGCAGCCAAATTGCGTGTTTCAGAATACGTACATGGTTGGAGTGACGCCGCTGAATTCCTATGAGCAGGAGCTTAAGCTGGATGATGCGCGCATGCACACGTACTTGATTCGTGGAGTGGATCTTCGCAACCTTGCTCCTCCAGCCGAATATCGGGCAGAAACAATAGCTCATGCGATGATCGTTCAGGGGCAGGCCACATGGGGTCAACTTCAAAGGTTGTTGGAATCGCTGCCAGGGGACAGCAATATGCGGTGGGAACAATCGGCAATCAGTGGAGCGCCACCCAAGCGCTTCACGGTCGGTGCCTGGCTACGTGGACCCATGGCAGGCATAAACCAACATGCCAGAAAGTTTCCATGGACGTGCCGTGCTCTTGCAGCCATTGTGAGAACCTGGGATGAAGAGTTGATGTTTACTGACTGCACGCTCTCGCTGAATATTCAAGCACTTCCGCATCCAGACAGTCATAATCATCCAGCCTCAATGAACCTAGCGCTACCATGCAGTGACTGCACAGGTGGGCAAATCTTCGTTGAGCATCCCGAAGGCAAAGCTCGACTCCAGCAGGATGGGGTGAGGGTGAATGGACACATACTCTCCACTCGAGAAGCCGTGTCCTTTTCCCCGCGATGCACACATGCTACCCTGCCCTGGAATGGTGATCGACTGCTCTTGCTATCGTTCCACATTGATACCCCCAGGCGATTGTGTACTGATGATGTTGACGAGCTCCGCCTCATGGGATTTCGTCCAGGTTTTCTCTGTGGTTAGCATACAGTAGGAGGACAGCGATTTTGAGCCCGCCAGGACAGTTCCAAAAGCTCGGTTGCAGTGCCTTTTCCGACCTGTCGTGTACGACATCGTACTCCTGCAAAACTGTGCCTATGAAGATTCTCACTGAGCTCATGTTTTCCCAGATGAAGCTACATCCGGGAAGTACTGCAGTGAGCCATGCTGTGAGCTGATTCGCATGCTGATGATGTAAATCTGAGCTCTGAGGCACCACACGGAGAGCTTACATACAGCTCCACTCCATTCGCTGTAAGTATGAAGCGTAATTAAAGTGACATGACACATGCAGTGTCCCTGCATCTTGCTCCTTGTTCTTGTATCTCGCTGCTGAGAGGGGCTATCGGCCCGGGCGAGATGAGGACATGCACGCCAATCAGATAATGATGTTATGCTGCTTGCAGCAGCTCTGGGTATAACTGTCGGATGATGGCCGAGTCTAAGACTTGCCTACATAAGCCACGCAAAGACGTTCTCGAACGTTTGCGCCACGGAAGGAAGGAAGCAGCAGCAGCAGCAGCAGCAGCAGCAGCAGCAGCAGCAGCAGCAGCAGTAGTAGCATCAGCAGCAGCAGTAGTAGCAGCAGCAGCAAAAGTAAGATTAAGAGTAAAAGTATCGATAATGGTACTTCTACTAGTAATAGTACTTGTAATAGAACTAGCAATAGCAATAGTATTAGTTTTTGGTTTAGTATTTAAGGGTCTTAGAGTTTGGGGTCTAGGGTTTGAGGGTTTACGGTTTGGGAGTTTACGAACTAAGATTTTCGGGTTAAGGGTTTCCGGGTTCAAAGTTGGCTGGAACAACCCGGTGCCTCCTAAACGCTGAACCAAGTGGCGGTTACCAGGCTCCTGCCGCGGAAACTCGATCGGCTTGAGTTGGACCTGCCGCTGGGCAGAGTTTCGCGAGGTTTCAAAGTAGGAACTTAGGAGCTAGTACACAGGTTATATCAGATCTTTTTCGCAGGATTGCAAAAACAAGTTTTGTTGATGGTTTTAGAAGTACTCTTAGTTACTGCTCCAAGGAAACTTGAACAATAACACTAGCAAGGTGGCGTCTTATTTTCTTAGGGCCACTTGAGAACTAGGTTCCCTTTAAGGCTCAACATATACCCTAAACCATAACAGCCGTATAATAAGGCATGGTTTTGGAGCTTGAAAGTTGCTGAAAAACATGAGTTCTTGGAGCCTTCGTGTACTAAACCCGACGTTAAAGAACTTAAAGCTTAAGGGTTTAGGGCTTAGGGTTTAGGGTTTAGGGTTCCTAAGCACCAGAAGCGCCAGCGTACAATGACCCAGGGTTCGCACACGGTTTACGGTCTAAAGTGTAGGGCTTTAAGGTTATTTTGGGTTCAGGGCTTAGGTTGGGTTTAGGGTTAGGGTTTAGGTTTAGGGTTTAGCCCTGCGCACTACACTTTGTTAGCCCCTGAGCCCTTCATACCCCAATCAAAGAAACTATAGGAGCTCTTTAAACGCGCAGACATTTCCAAGCCCCGGAATCTTGAAACCCCGAGATTTGTAATCCCTAAACCTCAAGCCCTGAACCTCCTAAACCCCCGCAGCCCTAAGACCCGAAACCTTAAAACCCCACACCCCTCAACGCTGAAGCTGTAAATCCTAAGCCTTAAACCCCAAGAACCAAAAAACCCCAAAACACCCCACAGCCCTGCAGCCTGAACTCTGAACCTTCTAGAGCCGCGAGTGTCCGACTTATCCCAAGGCCCTAAAGACTAAACCTTCCATCCCAAATCCCTAAAGCTTAAACCCGAACAGATAGCCCCAAGGCGACAAGCCTTCGGCTTTTTAAACCTCAGACTCCAAAAACTCCAAAAACCCTGGAAGCTCGAACACCTCTACACCTTCCAAAAACCCTAAATCCAACACCACCAACATTCCAAAAACCTTAAGCCCCAAAAACTCCTAAAGGCCCAAAAGACTCCCAAAACCCTAAACCCTGAAGCTTCAAAACTCCTGAAACCCCAGAAACTCCCAACACCCTAAACCCGAAGCTTCCGCCTTTCTTCCGCCGCCGAGGCGCCGCACCGCCGCCTCCGAGGAAACCTTGGCAGCGCTACTGGCAGCGGTGCCGGCGGAGACCTTGGTTTTGGGGTTTCGGGCTTTAGGGTAGGGTCCCTTTTTGGGTCCTTAAAATAGTTAGGGTTTGTAGGGTTCCAAAAAGGGTTCCTAGAAAGGGATCTAGCAGCGGTGCCGGCAGAGACCTTGGGAGAGGGTTTAGGGGTTTTGGGCTTTACAGTAGGGTTTTGGGGTTTATAGGGTTCCTGAAAGAGTTCCTTTAGAGGGATCTATAAGGGCTCTTTAAGGGTTAGGAGTTTAGGGCTTTAGGGCTTTAAGCTTTAGGGTTTAGGGCTTTACTGCTGAGGGCTTAAGGCTTCAGGCTTTGGGGCTGCGGGGGCTTCGGGTTTAAGGCTTCAGGGCTTGGGGGTTACAAGGAGATAAGTTGTAAGGGGTGGGTTTCGGGTGTGGGGGCGTGTTTTTCCCTAGATTTTGGAATTTGCTTGCTTCTGTGTATGCTGTTGGTTGGGATTGGCTCGCTGTGGAAGTAAGCTGTGCTGTGGCATGTAACTCGCGGCAAACCCTTAACAGGAACCCTTAAAAAAGCCTTACTCCGCCTTGATTGCGGTCCCTCTATGAAACCCTACTAATAACCCTTCCCTTAAACCAGCCCTTAAGTGAGCCCTTAACTCTACTTGATTAAAGTCTGCTGGGGACCCTGAACCCTGTCACGAAAAAGAGCTCCAAAAAAACCTATACCCCCAAACCCTAAACCCTAAGCCTCAAGTGCCAAACCCTAAGCTTTGATCCCCTGAACCCTGTAACCAGAGCCCTAAATCCTAAACCCTGAACTCTCCACCCTAACCCTTAAATCCTAAATCCTCTACTAGGTCCAGCTCTGCTTGGGTCTCTCCGCTGGCGTCTTCGCGGCGCCACCGGCGCCTGCTCCGCAGCTTACCTCGCTGAGGCACCGGTGTGGCAATTCCTTGGGAATCCTTGGTAGTAGTTCGTATTACCCTCTTATAACCCCCAATGCAATCATTGCAGAGTATGGGGATTGTTATGACTAGACTAGAACCCCCTTACGGTCCCCAAACCTACATAAACTCTAAGCCCCAGAACCCCGAAACCCGAAACCCTGAGCCCCAAACCGTAAAACCCCCTAAAGCCCCTAAACCCGAAACCCTGATGCCTATGCATCTTCTAGATCCCAAATCGACTCGAAAGACCCCCTAAAGGAACCCCAAAATCGACAGAAACTTTTTGTTAAAGGGACTCTAAACTTTAACCCGCTATTCAGTTTCTATAAACCTCAACCACCTAAAATCCTGTCATCCTAAACCCTGAACCCTTAAAGCATCTTAAACATCCTGTCAGGCTAAACCCTCAATTAAAGAGCCAGTGCACCTTAAAAAAAGAACCCTTAACCCTTAACCCTTAAAGCATCTTAAAATTTCCTGTCAGGCTGGACCTGCAGGGCGAATTCGACCTTCGCCTGCTTGCGTCCTGGCTTCCAGGCCTGACAGCCGTGTCCTCCGCCTCCTTTTCTGGTTTAGGGTTAAGGGTTTAGGGTTTAGGGTTTTTTTTATTTGGATCCGGTTAAGGGTTTAGGGTTTAGGAAGATCTTTGGGGTTTTCAGGATTTTGAGGTTTGGGGTGCAGGGTTTTAGGGTTTATGGTTCAGGTTCTAGAGTTTTGGGGGGGATTTGGGGCTTCGGGCTTTCGGGTTTAGGTTTCAGGGTGTAGTGGTTTAGGGTGCAGGGTTCAGGATTTAGGGTCTTGGGCCTCTCTCCAACTGCAACGACATTTCCTTGACATTCTCCTGGTTGGCTATTAGGACTTTGACTTCTTGGGTTTCTATACGAACCATAACAAAGAGGGTAAAACCTAAACCCTAAACTCTAAGCAGAAGTCAGCCAAGTTTCTAGTTCAATTCACGAAGGTTGTTTCAAGGCCTCAGGGCTTCGGTCCGGGTTTAGGCTGAGGTTCTGCAAGGGTTTTGCGGTTTCGGGTTTAGGGTTTTGGGTTCTGCAGGACTTTCGAAGGCGCGTAGAAGGATACTACGAGGTCTTAGGCAATCTCAGGGGTGTTGCCGGGAGCTCATTGGATGGGTAAGGATTCAAAGGGTTTTTGAAGCGGTTTTCCGGTGCTGATTCCTAGCGTCTTCTAGCTGAGGTTCATGGGTAGTTGTAAGTGGCGTGTAGCAGTCCTCTAATACAGGTTCTAACTATACTTATCCTACTTATAAACCCTACCTATGGCTACCCATGAGCCTCCCAGAGATAGCTAGAGAGATACAGATAGATGGATAGATCGGTTCAGGTGTCTCCTCTTAGCGATTCCTAAGCGTAGAGGCTAAAGGGACAAGACTGGCACGGCTTCCGGCTTCTGGAGACTCTGTAGCGAGGTAGTTAAGGAGTATATCTTAAATCATAGAGTTCAGCGTTTAGGGCCTAGGGGCATTGTCAGTATCCCTCGATACAACCATGCTTTCACATGACATTTCAGGCCTCGCTATCCGACTCTAAGGTAAGTCTATTTGGGAGTTTCGGAAATTAAGGGGTACCTTATTTTGGAGTCCTTATAATAAGGATCCTACTATTTAGGGTACTATATAAGGGGCCCCTATTTTCAGAAACTCCTATTTTGTTGCGACAGGCTCCCTGCGTCCCGATCCCCGAAGCCCCAAGCCCCTCTCCCCCAAACCTCCGAACCCCCAGACCCCTAAACCCCTAAAATGCCTGAGCCAGTAAACCCCTAAACCCCCAAAACCCCCCAAACTTCAAGCCATTACATGAACCCCACGCCCTAGACGCCCTAGACTCCAGACAACTCAACAGGCAGGTTGCAGAGTCTCGCGCTACAAGTCTCCGAGCGCCCCGCAGAACAAGATGTCGTGGTTTCAGTTGACTTTCCCAAAAGGACAGCCCTGTAGAGTTTAGGATTGGGTTCAGGAGGTAGGGCTTCGAGATTTACCGCGATCGGGTTTAGGGTTTGGGATTTAGGGGTTTTGGGGTTCAAGACAGGCCCATTAGCACGCCGGTAATTGTTTCTATCTTCTCACACAAGGAAACCCTAAACCCTAAACCCCTAAACCCTAAACCTTAAACCCTAAACCTTAAACCCTAAACCTTAAACCCTAAACCTTAAACCCTAAACCTTAAACCCTAAACCTTAAACCCTAAACCCTAAACCCTCGCCTTGCGGAGACCCTGCGAGGAGCCTCTCTCGTAAGGCCGTTCCCAGAGAGCCCCTAATCCCCCTTAATTAAGGAATATGGGTTCCTTAAAGCCGTAAAGGGCTCCTTAAAGGGATCTATAGGGGCTCTATCAGGGAATTGAGGAATATGGCTTAAACTATATAGGGCTTCCTATGATGATTTAAGCTATGTTCCTTAATTACGGGGTATTGGGCTCTCTGGGTTCCAACACTCGCGTAGTGCGGAGGCCTGAACAAGTAGTCACCACTACTTTTCCTTAGGGCTCCTCATCTAATCTAGGTGGCAATTTGGGAAACTGTTTAATTTCCTTTATGGTTCCTATAGAGGTACCTATTCATAAATACTTTTCAGAGCCCCAAAACTACAACCCAGTCATTGTAGTTGTACTATGATGTACCCAAAACCCTTTTCCAGTTATCAAGGCACCTATTTGGCCCAATCCTTTGCCTTTTCCACACTCAACCTTGAACCTTAACCCTAAGCCTCAAACCCTAAACTTACAATACCTGAACCCCAAACCCAAAACTCTAAGCTTAAAAAACCTGAATCCTAAGCTCTAAACCCCAAGCCCTAAACTTAAAGCACCTGAACCCTAAACCCAAAACCCTAAACACTAATTGACCGTTCGGGACTTCCTAGGAAGAGCTCAGCCAAGCCTCAACTGAGGTCTTCTGCGAAGCCTAGAGCCCCAATAAAGCCGGATAAGGCCGAAGTATAGCTCCAGGGAACAGGGGACTGAGTAAGTAGGGTTATATGTGAGGTAACTTTACTTAGGAGTAATTACAACTCCGATCAGGGTACTTGTAACCCTACTTACTAAGTCCCTTGATCCTTAATATAGGGTCGTAGTAGTTACCAGTACTGCTTTTCCAGGTTGCTGATCATGGCTGTAGCGCAATCTACACCAAAACTTTTGTCCAACTATTCAGGGCCCTAAATATACCCAACCCGAAACAGCCCTATCCAGTCCCAAACAGGTAGTTCCCAACCCTAGGAAGCATCCTTTCAAAGATTGAACTGCACTTCAGAGCCGCAAGCCGTACTGAGGTCCGCTGAGCTTACCTTTGGTTAGTAGGGAATGGAGGAATGGGGTACAATTATAACTACTGTGACTACCATTCTTCCATTCCCTACTAACCAAAGGTAAGTTTGGCCCCTAGAGTAAATCCTTATAATAGCCCTTATGGTGACCCTTTTCGACCCCTTTGAAGGAACCCTACCCTAATTTCTAAGGCCCCAAAGGTAAGTGAGTGCGGAAGACCGGTGCGTATGGAACCCTTGTCAAATCCATTTTTTTGCCCTTTTTAGCCGTCGAATACTTTCTATACTATGGACAAAAAAGGCCCTCAGGAGCCCAATTCTAGACTGTTACTGTAGGGGGGCAGTACTCAACTTATAGAGCCCTTCGTGTCAAGCCTTGCAAAAGAAAGCTTGCAGAACCCCTATGAAAAGCTCCCGTGGCACCTTACTAAAACGTAGAACCTGTATGGCCTTTATGGAACCTTTAAAACAACTCTGTAGAAATCTTGTGGGACCCTTTCCAAGCACCCTTGCAGAACCCTGTTACTGAGGACGGCTTTATGGAACCTTTGAAACAACTGTTTAGAAATCTTGTGGGACCCTTTTCAAGCACACCCTTGGAGAACCCTTTGCTGAGGACAACCTGTATGGGTATGGCCTTTATGGAACCGGTAAAACAGCTGGGTAGAAATCTTGTGGGACCCTTTTCAAATCAAACACCCTTTGCAGAACACTTTCACTAATTTTGTAGAAATCTTGTGGGACCCTGTTCAAATCAAGCATAGCTGTTTTTACCGAGGACGGCTTTGAGCGCGGAGGACCTGGGAAACATGCTCCTGAGCCTTCCGAGAGAGCTCGAGCCAGCTGGATGCAGGAAATGCGCAGGTTTTGGGGCTTAGGGTTTCGGGTTTATGGTTTAGGCATTTGGGGCTCCTTTAAGGGCTTTACAAGGGTGCCTATATATGGTTCCAGAAGTGTGGGGTTTTGGGGTGTTGGGGTCTATAGGAAGCCCTGGTACAACACACATGACCCAACCCTGAAGCTTAAACCCTAAAATTGAGTTTCCAAAAGTAGGGGACCGTAATATGGCACCGTAGATGGCCGGATCCTTATCATAAGGACCCCCAAATAAGGTAACCCTAACTTTCGGAAACTCTAAACCCTAAACTCTTTATACAACCCTTATAGATCCCTTTAAAGGAACCCTTATGGATCCTTTTAAAGGTACCCCTAACTTTTCGGAAACGCCGAGGCACCTGGCCTTATGCGCCTCCGGCCCAGCCGCCGGCGATGCAGCCATGATTCTTTGTCATAGTTGGGTAACATTTTACATTCTTATGGGTACTTAAACCCAATAAGGAATAGAAACTTAAGGTTTTAATCCTATCCCAACCATGAACTAGGAACCCAATAAGGAATAAACACTTAAATTTTTGATCCTATCCCAACCATGAACTAGGATTGCTGCTGCCATGGCTCCGAGAAAGAGCAGCTCGGTCGCCGTTCAGGGTCAGCGGGCTCTTGTTCAGGAGTTTAGGGTTTAGGGTTTAGGGTTTAGGGATTGGGGTAGTAAGGGTTCTGTAAGGGAGCTGTGAAGGATCTGTAAGGGGTTCTATGAGGGTTTGCGTAGGTGAAAGATTAGGGATTGGGGTTTAGTTGTCTGCAAGTTGTGTTCAGTCTCTGATTTGCTCTTTGTTCAGATGTATCTGGTTCCCTGCTTCCTAACGCTGGGGATTCTTCGGCGTCGTTAAGAAGTTGCTGGCAGTGTTGCTTCACGGATCAAAGGACTTAGTAAGTGCGTGAAGGATCAAAGGAAGTAGTAAGTAGGATTATAAGCGCTGCCCTTTTCTAGGCAGTTGTTCAAGACCCCAGTGCCTGAACTCTTAACTTTACTTGCTCACTGCCCTCATCCTCTTAGTAGGGTAGTTGCTGGCTTTAACTTTCGTCTCCTCCGCCATCGAAATGGGGCATTGGAGCAGGCTGCAACCGCGTGCGAGCAGAGCCTCAGGTTGGGGTGACCAAGACAAGCTGGGCTCGGACTGAGATGTCGTGTTGAGGGGTTTAGGGTTTAGGGTTGAGGCGCATACCGACGCTTCATTTGGCTTTGTAGCTCAGTCAGTAGCGACCAAGCTGCATCTCACCGAAGACTTTTCGAGCTGGAGGGACAAGGTTAACCGAGACGTGACATGGACATGCATCAGCATGCTTAAAGGATCATGGGACTTAGTAAGTATGGTTATACGTACCTTAATTGGGGTAATAAGAGATTATAAATATAGTTACCCTAATTATAACCCCATTACTAAGTCCCATGACCCTTTAAGTGGCGGAAGATGTTGCAGGCCCGTCTCGGGGCAGCTTTTCGGAGGATCATGGCAACTCGAGGAATGCTGAGGGTTACGCAACGAAGCAGATCCCCCCCAAACCCCGATCCCTAAACCCTATACCCCAAACCCTAAACCCTAAACCCTGAACCCCAAACCCTAAACCCTAATCCCCAAACCCTAAACCGTGCTTCTGTCGGCCTAGAAGAGCCGGTTTAAGAAGAAGCCTCGACCAAGGAGCTTTAAACCTCGAAAACCTAAACCACCAAAACCCCAAACACCACCCTAAACCCCCAAAAGGCCCGTTACTAACCCTGAACCTCAAAACACCCCAAAACAGCCTACATCTTCCGCCTCATCGACGCCGTGGACAGGACAGCTAGATTCAGCTCTGCAAATAGCTCCAAAATCCGAAACTCGAGGCCCCGAAGCCCAAGGCAGATTTGCCTTGAACCGTGGGTAGTTATAAGTAGGATAGCGAAAGTCATGACGGGGACTGATAAACCCCATTGTGCACCACCCCTGAACCTCCAAGTAGTGAGCCCCAGAAAGGTGGAACAGAGATTTGTGCTGAGATTCCATATACTTTACATGGGGATCATGACGTTCCAGCTTTCTGGCTTCTGTGTCAAACCCTAAACCCTAATCCTAAGCCCCAAGCCCTGAACCCAAAGCCCTAAGCCCTAGCCCTAAACCCTACACCCCACTGAGGCTTGGAAGTGCGCTTTGGTGCCCTGGCAAAACATGGTCTGCCTTGCCGATTCTTTCTCTCTTGCCTGCCAAAGAGGCCCCAAGAGGAATTTACCGATGTTTGTCTCCAGACCCTTACAGATCCCTTAAAGGGCTGGTTCAGGGTTTGAGGGGTTTTAGGGTTTGGGGCTTAGGGCTTTGGGGTTTAGCTTTCGAATTCGGGCAGGACCTTGAGCCTTTATCTCAACATCCAGACTTGGGCGATCACGTGACTTAGTATGTAACATGAGAAGCAGCTGAATAGCCCACTATTAATTACAGCCCCGCGCAATACGTCAGCGGACCAGTGAAGTCGTCACTTAACCCTCACCAGCTTAAGCCCTAAACCACTGCACCCCTAAACCCCTAAGCAGCCTAAACACCTAAGCCCTAACTAAGCCCTCAACCCTCAACCAACATGGTTTTCTTCTTTAGCTTACCGCTAAAAGAAATGAGGGCTCAACAAAAAACCTACACCCTAACCTGACTCAGGCCCAACTGCCAATTTGTTTAGGGCTTTCGGGATTGCGGGTATGACATGTTAAGACGCTGAACCCTAAATCCCGACCAACCCTAAACCCTAATCCCTGAACCCTAATCCCTAAACCTTCAACCCTCAACCTTCAGCCCTAATCCTTCAGCCCTAAACCCTGCAAACTGTCGCCCCCTGGAAGAAGGAGTTACAAAAAACCCTAAAGCCACCACGCACGAGGTGCAGAAAGTGTTTTCAATGAATGAGGAACCTAAACCCTAAACCCTAATCCCTAATCCCTAAACCCTAAACCTTAATGAACCTTAAACCCTAAACCCTAACCCTTAAACCCTAATCCCTAATCCCTGAACCCTAAAACCCCCAAATCCGAGGTCCAGAAAGTGCTCTCAGTGATGCAGGGGTGACAGTCGCCGCCCCCCTTCTTCAGGCTCCGGAGAGCCAGCCTCTACTTAAAGGATAGATAAGAAGCGCCGGTTTAATTAGGGTCTAGGGTTTAGATGCTTAGAGGCACTTAGACATTTTTTCAAGTTTTGGTTCCTGTAATTCCTCAGAAGCAGCTAAATTATGAGTTTTGCTAGGGGTCTAAATAAGAAGCAAATAAACTGTACTACTCTATAAGCCTTAGGGGTTGGGGGGTTGTTTTTTGGGTGGTTTTCGGCTTACAGGGAAGTATAGGTTCTGTAGGGTTTTGATGGTTTCGGTAAGGTCCTTTACAGGGCTTGTTTTGGGGTTACTGTTATGGGAATATTCTAGGTTCCCCAACAGTATCCGTCACTTTTTCTCTCGGGTTTATAACCTCATAGCATGGATAAAGGGTACCCTTGTGATTCGGGGGCTACTGGGGAGCCTAGCTTAGTTAGTACGGCTAGAAGTACCCAAATTGGTGCTATAAGTACTCCCAACAAACCTACTTGCCAAGTCCTCTGATCCGATAAGTATCTGCTCTTCCCGAGGTTTTCTTTAAACGGTCTTTAAGTTTTTTTTAAATAAGGGTTTCATAGGGGTCCCAGGTTTGAGGGTTTAGGGTTTCTCAGGTTTACGGATTTTAGGGTTTAGTGTTTTTGCGAGTTTGGGGTGCTAGGTTGGGGTGTTTAGGGGCTTTAGGGTTTAAGGTTAGGGTGCTTTACAGCAGATAGGGTTCAGGGTTTCTACGGGTATGTAAAGTATTGAAGGCTTTGGGTGTAGTGGCTTCAAGTCAAAGTCACGACTGTAACTTGTTTGGTGTTGTTTTTGCCAGGATAGGGTGTAGCGTTCAGGGTCTGGGGGGAAAAGCAGGATATAGATTCTACTCAGGGGGTATCCAAGCCCATTCCGTTCCGGCTCCCAAACTCGGCGATAGGGGCCTCCTGCGGTCTGCATGAGTTCATGTGGCTTCATAGCATAGTCCGCGTTTACTGACACGCTTTCCGCAGGTCATCGTGTCAAAGAGGCAGCATCTAAAGCGACACCGCCAGTGCCACCCCAGCCCCAGCCTCCTGCTACTACTGCTAATACTGCTAGTACTGTTACTACTACTACTACTACTACTACTACCACTACTACTACGACTACGACGACGACGACGACGACGACTACTACTACTACTACTACCACTACTACCACCACTACCACCACCACCACCACCACTACTACTACTACTACTACGACGACTACTACTGAAACTATTACTGCTACTACAACAACTACTGCTACTGGTACTCCAAACACCCAGATTTCCAACCCCAAACCCAAACCGTCAACCCTAAAGCCCGAACCCTCGACTGCCATGTTCCACAGAGCTTTACCCCAAACCCTCAACCCTACTGTTGATGATATAAATCGTGCATCACCTTAAGGAGCTATGGGAATTATGGCATATTCCTTGTTATGGGTAATGCAGGATTTATATCATCAACCGTAGCACTCCGCAGTTCGAAAAGGAGCCCTTAAGAAACATCCCCAAACCCTGAACCCTAGAACCTAAACCCTAAGCCCCCTTCAAACCGCCATGTTCCATAGAGCTTTACCTTAAACCCTAAAGCCTCAACCGTAAACCCTCAACCTCTAAACCCTAAACCCCCTAAAGCCGCCATGTTCCACAGAGCTTGGTTGCTCCCCTGCCTTGCCTTCCTCGCCTTCGCTTTCTCTCGGAACGAAGCTCCCGGAAGTTTCCTGGAGCTCGTGAGCCTTTCAGCACGGAAGCCCAGCGACTCGGCCGCTATGAGGGTTTCGGTTTGAGATTGAGTTTAGGGTTTAGTTTAGGGTTAAGGGTTTAGGGTTTAGTTAAGGGTTTAGGGTTTGGGGTTTAGGATTAAATTAAGGGTTTAGGGTTTTTATTTTGGGATTCATAAGGGCTGGATAAGATTTCGAGGAGGTTCTAGACGACTTAGAAAGGTTCTATAACATAAAGTTTTTATCAGGCTTATGAGGGTTTTCTAGGTGGGCTGCGTAAGGGCTGAAACGGTGTTATAGCTCTTGTGTATGACATTTTGTTTAGCATATAGGAGAAGTAACGATAGTTCTTAACAGGCACCAACAGCCGTGAAACAGAAAACCACCAGCAGCCCTAACAACCGTAACCCTACCCCAAGCCATAAGCCTTGAGAGTCTTAAAGCTCCAGTAAGAACTGTTAAGAAACCTTGATGGATCTCTCAAAGATTCCTTGAAGATCCGCAAGCCTCTTCAAGCCCGAACCCTTAAAGCACCAAAAGCTTCAAAGTACCGTTATATACCGTGTGGGACCCTCAACATTATAAGACCCGCAGAAAGCTAGATGAAGAACTTGGGAGAATTTTCAAAGAACCCCGAGGCAACCCTTAGAGAAATCCTTGAAGAAGACATACAGAAGTCCTTGAAGCAACCCTTTAAGATCCCAAATCATCCTGGAATAAGCACCTCCAGATACCCTGAACCCGTTACTAAAGCCACTCTAAGGCCTTCTGAAGCCCTTGTAGAGTCCTTTGAACACCGCTTACAAAGCGCCTGTAAAGCCCGTATAAAAGCAATTGACAAAACTTTGTAGACAAAAACTTAAACACCTTATTTATAGTATCCTTGGGAAGCTGTAAACCCTGATACCCTAAACCCCTTAAACCCTCAGCTCGTCAATATCAGTGTAAAAGGAACTCTTAAACGAACGCTGTTAGCATATTCAGGCCCTTGTAGTACAAAGCCCGAAGGACCCTTTTGAAGCCCTTCCCTGATGTAACCCTTCATGCAATACCCTTCTACAATATATGTACCTTTGGAACCTTTAAAAAAAACGTATGAAGCCCGACGAAGCCCGGTGGTGTATTGCAGGTAGAGTACGAAAAGACACGACGACACCATTCACATTACTATGGCCTAGTTTATTTGCTTTCCCTCATATAGTAACCCGTCCAGACTCCTTGGGCGGCACCTTTAGACTTTAGTCGCCCCTTCTGGGCTCCTTAAACGGAGCCGTTAAAGGAAGCCTATCACAGTCCTTAAGGCCCCTACATCAACCCCACTTGTGCCCCTTTATAGACACTTATGCTAAGGAACCTACCTTTTTAGGGTTCCCTAATATGATTTCTTTATATAAGTCCTTAAAAAGGTAGGTTACGTGGGGTTAGGGTAAGGTTGTCTGACATTCTGGCTCCCCATTTCCACTTATTCTGACGCTCATAGACTCCTTTGCAGGAGCCCTAGTCCAATATTGTGGCCCCCAAGACCCTATATAATACCTAAACACGTAATCCCTAAGTCCCGAACCCTTACCACCTAAATCCCAAACCCTTAAACCCTCAACCCTTATTCCCTAAATACCAATAAACCCCTAAACCCTAAGCCCCTTACCGACATTGTGGCCCCTGTGGTGAGAAGCAAGAAACTCCAATATCCCTTAATTAAGAGATATACCTTAAATTATAGTACCTGATATGGTTTAAGGAATACTCCTTAAATAAGAGATATTGGAGTTTCTGGGAAGCTCAGGGAAGCCTTCGCCGGTAGTGCTTTCGGCGGCCTTCGGCCGACGGCCGAAGCTGGGCCTCTCCAGGCCAAAGCTGGAGATCAATGAGCTGGATGAGGCCCCTGGGTCTACCCAGAGAGCCCAATACCCCTTAATTCAGGAATACGGCTTAAATTATATGGGGCTTCATAGTATGGTTTAAGCTATATTCCTGAATTAAGGGGTATGGGCAAGTAATTTAGGTTTTTTTTGGGTTTAGGGTTTAGGTGTCTTTTGTGGTCAAGGTTTAGGTGATTCTAGGGTTTAGGGATGTTTAGGGTTTATATAGGTGTTTTTTGGGGTTCGGGTTGGTGCCCCTCGGCCTAAGCAAAGTGGGGTTTGCAGTTTAGGGTTTAGCCAGGATTCAGGAATTAAGATATGGGGTTTAGGGGTTTCGCGAGTTTAGGAGTTAGGGCTTTGCTTTTTTTTTTTTTTGGTGTTTGAGGTGTTTTCTGGGTTTGGGGTTCAGGGTTTAGTAGCGGCACAACAGGGTTCTGCAGATGTTGATAAGGGTCTTACAAAGAGTGCTGCCCTGTCAAAACAAACAAAGACATCCACAAAACACAACTACCAAAACATGAACAAATATTTACCAAAACGCTGCAAGGGTCAAACACGCCACTGCAGCTGCAAGGAAAAACACATTTACTAGAGATCACAAAAATGAGCTTAACAATTGTTGGAGATTTAATAACATGAGCTATTGTTAACTTGTCTACAGAACTACGTTGGATCGGTTTCGGGTTTAGGATCTGGGCTTAAGGGTGTAGGGCCCAAGGGCTTCTAAGCCCCCTTATAAGGCCCCTTTGAAACCAAACTTGTAAAACCTTGTTTTGCCTCGACCCTAACTACCCATGAACCCTCCCCTTGTAGAACCGTTATAGATCCCTTAAAGGAACCCCATAACCCCACTTGTAGCTACCCATGAGCCTCCAAATAAGGACACACCCTCTAAGCCCGAAATCCTAACCCTAACCCTTAAACCCCAACCCTTTGGCTCTCATCCCTTAACCATACTTGGAGGATCATGGGACTTAGTAACTGGGGTTATTACTAGGGTAACTACAGTTATAATGACTTATAACCCCAATTAAGGTACTTATAACCATACGTACCAAGTCGCATGATCCTTTAAGTAAACCCTGAGGACACTTCTCCCAGCACCGCCAAGCCCGAGCCCCGGCGAATTGGAGAGCGCCGCGATGCCCTGGATGTGGCAACTTGTCCGATCGTAGGTAGGGTAGGGTTCCTTAAGAACTAGAATAGGGTTTTGGGGTCCACTATACTATAATTATTGTAGGGTTGGGTTCCTTAAGAATTAGAATAGGGTTTTGGGGCCCATTATACTGTAATTATTGTAAGGAGCCCCCAAAATAGTATAGGTAATTATGAAGGCCCCGATAGTAGGGTTCCGCGATGGCCGCGATGGCTTCCATAAAAGGGTTCCGAAAAACGCTCTTCAATGCAAAATCCCACGTCTGGATACATATGCCCTGAACCTAAAGCTTGAGATTCCCAAAGCCCTATATAATCCCGACCCTATTCGCGGAGCCCAAGCCAAGGACGAGGTTGGCATCATAGGGGGAAGAGCGGGGCATACGGCTCACAGGGTCTCCCTGCATCGTAAAAAGATCACGCCATCTTCGTCAGTCTTAACAAAGATACCCGAGCGAGACCTCTCCAAACCACGCTGAACGAATTGACGGTTCACACCTGAAACTCAAGAGTCGAGCATGTCGAAAACATCACGACGTGAAGCCTGGCAGCCATGAACCCTCCGAGCACGAAGTCTTAGAGACCCGAAGCCTGAACCCCGCCCTACACTCTGCAGGCAATTTGCATAAAGTCAAGCTGCTTTCGAAGATATATTTTTTTCAAGTTGGTCTAAAAGGTGCCTAGGACCTGAGTCGTATAAGCCCACTCGAACACGGGGACATCAGGGGCTCGTGTTCTTGTTAGACGTACCAGAGACAATGCAAGACATCATTCCGGCAAGGGGGTTCTGGGGTCGAGAGCAAAAGCAAAAGCTTAAAGTAAAAGCCAGAAAGTTGGAATATGATTATCCTAAACCCTTTATGGTAAATTACAAGGTATCCTACCCTGAATCCATATTCCAACTTTCTGGAGTTCCCTTTACCTCGAGGATGGGGTTCTATAAGGGAGTGTTCCGCAAGGTGTTGGGTAGGGTTTCAGCTTAGGTTTGTCCTTGTTGGGCTAGGCTACATCATCCATATCAGACCTCTCGTAGATCTCTTGATGGTTATGCTTCCCTAAACGAACAACACCCTAAACCCTAAACCCCCAAACCCTAAACACCCCAGACACTGTCAGGAGCTGCAGAGATTGGCCCAAGCAGTGCTTCCCAGGCCTTCAGATCAGCGAAGCAACTGGGCCCACAAAATGCGTGCCGGTTTCGTCGAGGGTTTTTTCTTGGGGTTGGGGCTGGGGGTCTCGGGTCAGTATCGAAAAACACTTGAGAAGATAATGCAATGGGAGGGTCGGTAGAAGGTAGTTAAGCTTAAAGAAGAAGCCTTCCATCCTAAGCCCGAAGCCCAAGACCCAACACCCTAACACTTCAAGCGCAAAGCCTAAAGCCTCGCGACCACGAAAACCTCAAAGCCGAAACCGTCCCGAACACTTCAACCGCAAAGCTTAAACCCTAGACACCGCATGCGGGCGAAAGTCCGGCACACTTTAAAACTGCCCTACAATGAACCCCATAAAGTTGGAAACCGGATCAAATCCATATAGTGCTGGGGTTCCCTATATATTACTCTTCAGGATTGAGGCTAGTAGGTTTCCAACTTTTAGGCTTCTACTGCAAACCCCAACAGCCCAGGTAAGGCCAAGGTCCTGACAGACTTGGAGGCCGGGGACTCCTCCTATTTCTCCTACTCCTCCTCTTCTACTGCTCCTACTACGGTTGATGATATAAATCCTGCATCACCTTAAGGACCCTAGGCTCTGGGAATTATGGTATATTCCTTATTATTGGTCATGCAGGATTTATATCATCAGCCTTACTGCTACGGCTTCTCCTGCTGCTGCTGCTGCTGCTGCTGCTTTGGCGTTACTGCCACGACGACTCCTGCAGCTACTTCTGCTCCAATGCTCCTGAAGTGCGGCTCGTCTTTAGAACTACGGTTGATGAAATAAACCTTGCATTACCCATAATCAGGAATGTACCATACGTCCCATAGTCTATATAGGGCCATCAAGGTCATGCAGGGTTTATATCGTCAACCGCATGGCCCGGTTAGAGAAGGGATTCGGAGCCTCCGGCGCTGTCACTCCACCCCCCCCAAAGCCACACCGGAAGACAGCCGCCCTAAACCCTGAACCCCTAAGCCCCTCAACACCTGAACCCCTAAACCAGACACCCGAAACCCTAAGCCCCTAAACCCAAAGCCCCTCGACCCCTAAACCCAATGCCCCCTAACCCCTAAACCCCTAAACCCTAAGCCCCCAAGCCCCTCAACCCTTAAACCCTTGAACCTTAAACCCCTAAACCCGAAACCCTGGACAGAGAACTTGAAAGGACATCGCCACGGCCGTTCTGGGAACGAAGGCAGGAAGTTGACATTAGGGATTAGGGGTTGTGTAGAAATTGTTAAGGGTTTGGGTGCCAATAAGTTTTGAGCGAAAGTTTTGACTGATACGTTTTGAGCAGGTTTCCTTTTTGAGCTTGATTTCGGAGTTGATGGGCCGGGCGGGGACTGAGCTGGGCTGGATGGCCGGGGGGTCGGGGCTGGGCTCGTATGAAAGACAGATTTTGGGAATCGGGTGCTGGGCTGGGCTCGTTGTTGGGCGAGGTGGCGTTGGGCTGGGCTGGGGGCTGGGGCGTGGGAGAGCTTGGCTGTGCGAATGGGCTGGGCCGGGCAGCCAAAAGTTTTCTAGATAGGATTAACTCCACGCACCTGTCGTCTTGAGCCCTAAACACGAGTCGTCTTGAGCCCTAAACCCTTTTCAATTTATGCTTCCGTATCTTAATTGCACATCGCACATGCGGTCTAAACCCTAAACCTTATTCGCAATTGTTCTTCGTTAACTTGCCTCGCAGACATAAGACAGTCAATTTATTTTCCGGCACGCGCTGGTATGACCTGGTATGAGAAACATATACAAGGTCGTATGTTTTTTTCGGTAGTGTTGTTTAAAGCCTAAAGTCTAAACCCTATTCGCAGTTGTTCTTCGTGTTTGTTTCCCTGGTAAGCTGTTTGTGTGTATCAGAAACATATACAAGGTCGTATTTTATCAGACTTCCAACTCTAAACCCTTTCGAAGCTGTTTTCCTTTTATTTGCTCTGCAAAACATAAAAACACCTAGTCTGTTTTTAGGTAGGACCGCGTTTTACGTATGTGAGTAATATGATTAAGTCGTCTTGAACCCTAAGCTCTAATCCAAAGTCGTATTTTCGGCTTCCAACCCTAAACCCTTTTCGTAGTTGTTTTCCTATTATTCGCTGTGCATATCATAAGGTTGGTTAGCCAATATTTCGGTAGGCACGTGTTCTTTATCGTCTTGGACTCTAAACCCTAAACCCGTTTTCGATTTATGACCTTAAACCCTAAACAACCCTAAACCCAAAACCCTCATCGATTCATGTTTGGTGTGTGAGAAACATTTACAAGGTTATTTTGTTCGGCTTCCAACCCTAAACCCTTTCTGTAGTTGTCTTGCTTTGGTTCGCTGTGCAAAACATGAGAACAATCAGCCTATTTTCCTATGATCAACTCCGCTCACGAGCCGTCTTGAGCCCTAAACCCTAAAACCTTTTCGATTTATGCTTCGGTATTTCTATTTGCACATTAAACATCACACGTGCAGTCTAAACTTTAAACCCTAAACCCTATTCGCATTTGTTGTGCGTGTTAACTTGCCTCGTAAACATAAGAGAGTCAACATGTTACCACGCACGAGTCGTCTTGGACCCTGAACCCTAAACCCTTTTCGGTTCATGTTCGTATGTATGAGAAGCCTGCGATTTTTACGCCAGGGTCGCGAATGCCACATCATCGTCAACACTGAGACGTGGCTGGCTGAGTTTGCTGTTCGGAGCCACCTGTGATGCAGCCTTGGGATAACCTTTTATATTGCTCCCGCAAAGGTTCAGGGGGTGTTTCAACTCGCGGAGCGGATTACGCCGGGGACCACTTTTCGTGGTCGAACAACCCGCTGTTGATCCGGCTTTCCCAAATGACTGCCGAAGGGCTGGAAGTCTTGGAGCTGCAAGCCGCCACAGCATCGGTAATGCACCGGATTGCAAATTACCGTGATTATATCCGTTTCGTAGATACTCTGCTTGTACGGCGCATCGTCTGTGCAATCGCAAAGAGATTGCAACAGCCTGTGTCTGCGTCCGCGGATTCTAGGGGAGACGGGATGCTTGTTCGTGCTGTTCAGGCGGGTGCTTGCTCGGAATTTGCGAATGACAGTCCGAAAAGTATCCGCCTTCCACCCTCGTTGCTGCAGCATCAGAACTGCTGATAGCCGCAGGCTCGGCACGGAAGCGTTCTTCCAAGGCCCTCGCCCGACTTCTGAAGCTCCCACGTATTAATCCTCTGGTTGATCTGGTCGGGGAAGATTTGGGTGCCGCAACCGGACATCAACTTGTCTGCCCAAGCAGGCACAGCCCTGCGGAATCTCGTCCTGCGTCCGAGAGCTCGTTGGGAAGGAATTGCGGACATGATTCCCCGCATTCCTCTTTCGGAGCTCGCCTCCTTCGTGGCGCACCGCCTGGGTATGAGTGACCAGGTTTTCGGACATCAGTGCGGGAGAACAACTTTGAACTCCTGCACGCAGCAGCCGACCGGGCGCCATGGCGCCAAAGAACCATTCGTTCCTTGTTTGGCCTCAGAGACAAAGCGCTGCAGTGATAGTGATGGATGCCAAGTTGGTTGAAAAGGCTTCTGTGCTTTCGGGAGTTTGTTAAACCTAGCGTACTGCTACCTAGGGATCCCATAACCTAACAAATAAGGGGGTATGGGCCAAAACCACTAGTGAGGAGCAAGACTGAGCAAGACCATTGTCTGAAAGGACTGGAACACTCGCCATCGAAGCTAGCGTAAGTAAAACCGGGCTTCAAGTACCTACTCACACAATGGGTTCGGTCTGACATCTGACATCCATATAACTGCTTCTTGTGCAAAGAGACGTCATGCAGCCACTGATAAAGCTTAGGTAGGATCGCCGGCCGTGAATGATTGCACCCCTGCTCCACATGTTGGTAGCTCCAACAAGTCCTGGGAAAGCTGGTCGTTTGACAGCTGCTGTGTTTGTTGTCAGTCGGAGAAAAGTTTCTTGAGAAAGTTGTGCATGAGGTAGCGGCTGCACGCTGGGTCGTGTGTTTGCTGTCGGTCGGAAAACCAGCATTGAGACTGCAATCTTTCTTTCTTGGCGGGGTTGCAGCCTAAAGCTTAAACCGAATGGGGTTCAGGTTGTATAGGCTGTCGGGAGCGGGGTTCAGGATGCAGGATTTGGGCGTTTGAGCTTCAAAGAGTCGGAATTCGAAGCTTCTCAAGTTGCTGAGGGTCTCTAGGCTAGGGGCTTGGGGTTCCGTACAGGGAACTACCGAAGTCGTAACGCATGTCAGCAAATCGGAGCATACCTTCGGGGAAGCGAAAACGCTAGGTCATAACATTCCGCAGTGTAGTTGGGGATACGAGTTCCTGGCCAAAGTCCGTTTACAATGAACGTATAAGATCACCATATACATCCCAAACGTTCCCACACCGGAAACCACGCTGTAAACCGGCACAAGCCCCAATCTCTTTTCGCGAAGGCCCAATCTCTTGTCGCGAAGGCCCATGCAGTGTAACTTATAGGCTTGCAGGTTCAAGAATTCATGCCCAGGGTGCCACTTGACACAGCTTTTCTATCCATGTCGGCGTAGGTCCTAAAGGTTGAGACTGGGCAGCACAAAAACAGACAGCATCAGAGGGCTCTCAATCGCTCAAGTGCATCGTTTTTCGGATGGCGGTTGCGCCGAATGGCGGTCCGACGAAATGCCAGATTGGTTTATGCACCTTGGCGCAGAAGATTCAGCTTCATAAGTCGGAATATCGAGGTATTTGCAAGCCGGATTTGGAAGCGGTTGCCAGTTCCAGGCAACTCGTGGCGGGTCATGCCCTGTGCAACTGCTGCCAACCGAGGCATGGCCGCGATGGGCGTCCCCAAGTACAACTAGCGCTGGGAAGTGTGGACATCGACTTGCGCATCCTGGCACTGACAATAGCTACTGTACGGGTTATCAAGACATCTGCGCACGCATGCGATGTACAACGGGTTTCTAGATACCTTCGCTGCTCGAGATGGCCCTGTGCCAGCTGTTGCAAAGGAAATGGCCACTTGCACGCAGGAAGGCAAACCTCGCGCCAGCCATCATGTAGCAGTTTTGTTCCCTGGATGCAAGAGCTTTTGGTCCAGCTTTCTGTTTTCACGGGGAAAAGTTGCAGTGTTCCCGCCAACTGAGTTGAAAAAATGCTGGAGTTTCTCATCATGCTTGAGCAAACATGTCCGACCCTTGAAGAACGTGTTCTCATGATTTCCCTCATAGGATCTGCTGCGGTAATTTCGTTTATTCTACGCGCCGGGCTAGATTCTGGTGTGGGCTAGTAGGGCAAACAATAAGCTAATGGCTCCTGAAAGGAGGCAGATCCTGCGGAGACGACCTCGAAGTGTGCAGACAAGACCATCGAATCGGGACCAGGACCAGGGCGATTGCGAGTGTTGCGTTGGACGCAATCACGGTGCAGTGCGTAGTTCCGTAGTTGGAGAATCTGTGGAGTTTGCGTTCCATGTCCTTTTGTGTATCCTGCTAACTGCGTATTTTTTCTCAAGAACTCTTTGTCGTTTTGCCTTCACACTAGCTGCGTTTGTTGCCATGGCCGATGGCGACAGGACGCCTACGAAACGTCCACGCGAGGACATGCCTGATTCTCCGGACCAGCCGAAGCTCAAGCAACGGCAGCCTGACTTGTTGACTCAAGAACAGCGACGGCTGCTTGCCACACTGGGCAAAGGGACTCCTGGGAATCCACGTGGACATTGCTACGATGCATCGCCAAGCTGTCGAGTCTGCTTTCGTGTGAAGCACACCGTGCAGTGGATGTATCGCACCGGCGGCACCGGCACCGAGAGCAAAGCGCCTTCTCAGTGGCAACTATGTACTGTGCCGCTTGTGTCAATGCCTGTGATCGATTGAAGGTTACCCGCTCCGTGGACATATTCAAAAAAGTACTGGGACTTTTGAGCCTCGTGCACGAAGTCAGTGCGCAACAGGCCGAGCAAAACCGTCGTGATGTGTGTACTTGCAGCGCGTGTGCAGGCGTAGTGTAAACATCGGCTGTGAGGATGTGCCACTGCACTTTTCTGTACAGGTTCACAGTCATGAGGGGGATCCACATACGCCTGAAAGCAAGACGGCTTTGCATGCTGTAGAACCGCACCCATCACATGCCACATTTGCTGGTGCTGTCATGCTTCGTTGCGGGAAGGCTCGCCCACCGTTTTTGTTATGACTTCGGTGTTTACCTGTATCTATCAGTTTGGGATTTCGAATCAGTATCGCGTAAAGTAGAGTTTCAATCTATTACGGTTTTTCGTTTTGGTAGAAGGCCCGGTGCTTTGAGCGCCCGGCCTTCAGGCACAGAACCCTCAATCGCTGAAAGCTTGAACCTTTATGTCGTAAAACACGAAACCGTTTCTCATGAAAACTGTCCTGGGAAAGCTGGCGTTTAGTAGCTGCTGCGTGCTGGGTCGTGTGTTTGTTGTCGGTCGGAGCAAACTGTGCTGAGAAAGTTTGGCGTTTGGTGGCTGTTGTGCGCTGGGTCGCAGGTTTGTTGTCGGTCGGATAAACTTGTCCTGGCAAAGTTAGGCGTTTGGTAGCTGCTGCGTGCTGGGTCCTGCGTTTGTTGTCGGTCGGAGATTGGGCGTTTGGTAGCTGCTGCGCGCTGGGTCATGCGTTTCTTGTCGGTCGAAGAAAATTGTCCTCGGAAAGGTAGGCGGTTGCTTGCTAGTGCATGTTGGGTCGTGCGTTTGTTGTCGGTTGGAGAAAACTGTCCTGGGAAGCTGGGTGTTTACTAGCTGCTTCGTACTGGGTCGTGTGTTTGTTGTCGGTCCGAGAAAATTGTCCTGGGAAAGTTGTGCGTTCTGTAGCTGTTGTGTGCTGGGTCGTGTGTTTGTTGTCGGTCGGAGAAGACTGTTGTGGGGAACGTGGACGTTTGAAGGAACTTCCCGGAACTCGTCAATTTTCCGTTACAGGAGGAAGTTTTGTAACATTTTGTGCAATTCCATGTAGGGCAGGTCGAATTTAGGGCTGGAGTGCGAGCCGAATTCGACGGTTTAAAATGTTCAAAATTGAACAAAGTGGATTTCCTTCGGCCCTAAGCTTTTGGGTTTCGGTGTCCTAAGCTTTTGGGTGTCGGTGTTTGCCAGCTTTTTGCGGTTGTTGAGGCCGTTTTTACCAAACATTGACAATCAATTTCTATTTAGTTCTTTCTTGAGGGTTTAGGGTGTCATCCTGCACCACAAAATCGAATGTTTTTTTTCCTGGTAGGCATCCTGCATATTGGAACCGTCATCTAGGGGCATTGAGTTTTTCCACTAAACCCCTAAATCCGTAAACCTGAATCACCGAACACAAGGCCCCTCGACCCTAAACCTCCAGTATTTAAGCTCTTCGTTTCAAGATCTTGAATTTTTTTGAATGGCTGCCAAAATTCTGTTCAAGCTTTAAAACTGCACGAAAGAGGTGGTTTTGCCACATTATGAATCCTACAGACTCTCTTGGCAATTCAAAAACCCTAAACCTGAATCCCAATTCCTCAACCCTAATCATTCAAAAGAACTCTTAAAGAAATCCTAAACTGAAGCACTAAGCCCCAAGCATTAAGTACCCTTATGATACACTTGTAGATCATTTTCAGAAACCTTACGCCCCTCAACCCCAGACCTCTGAATCCAAAACCGCAAGCCCCTAAACCCAAACCCCATGAAGAGCCCCTTTGTGCAGACCACGGGGTATCGTTGTAAAACGGGACCCCGAAAGACACCCTTGTAGATCCCTTAAAAAGCGGACCGAAAAGGAGCCGTTAAAGCAAGCCTAAACCCCCTAAACCCGTGAAGAGCCCACTTTAGTAGGCCACGGTGTATCCCTTCGGCTCCTCGGCGAATGGATGCGGCGAGCGGCTCTCGGCGCCCGGGAGGCAATTCGCTAACAGAATTTCCGTGGTTTTTAGGACTAGAAAAGCAAACAGATAAGTACATGCCGGCACGACTAAGTACATAGGCAAGTGAGCAAATACACAATTACGAACAAGTAAGTCAGTCAGTATGTGTACATACATATTATATATATGTATAGATATATGTATATATATATATATATATAATGCATATTTCCAATTTCGACAGAACGCTGTAGTGTCGGGTTTAGGGTATGCATGAATACGCATGTACTTGTGTTGAAATTGAAACACAGAGGGCAGGGTTTTTGCATGAAAGCGGCTTTCCGCTTTATACTTTTGTACATGTGGGTGGGCCTGCGAAGTGTCTTTGACAGGGCCCTGGCGATTCTTCAACGGGTTTGACGAAGGGTGTCGCAAGCGGCTTTGAGAGTGCTGTTATTTTTTCAATACTCGCAACAACCATTGCGTGTCCCTAAGCCCTGAATCCTAGCAGCATTGACGCAAGTCCCCGCTCTCTGGCTCATGCTGCAGCGCTCGGCTTTGGGTGTCGGTGTAGGGGTTTGGGCTTTAGGGGTTCAGGGTTTACCCAGTCCGAACTGCTTAATGAAATTATAGCATAGGGGCCTTGAATTAGAATACGGTTTTGGGGTTGCAACAGGCCCTTATTTCAGGATTCTATTAAGGGCTTGCGGGTGTAGTATAGGGGCCTGGACTGCTAGTAGATCAGGTTCTTGAGGTATAGTGTAGCATAGGCATAAGGGGACTACACAAGGATACTGCAATCAAACTCCCTACTAAAGTCTAGAAACCTGGACTTAGCTCTCAAATCTGGAAACCAGCTAGAAGCCACTGTGAGATAGTAAACCCTAAACCCAAAACCAAAACCCTAAACCTTAAACCCTAAACCCAAGGACATCGACGCCGTACTTGACATCGTCGACGCTTGGGCGGCGACTGAGACCACCGCGTCCTCAAGCGCTCGAGCCGAAACCTTCTTAAAGGATCATGGGACTTGGTAAGTATGGTTCCTGAAAGGGCTCTTTAAAGGGATCTATAGGGTTCCTCAAAGGGGTCTATAGGGTTTAGGGTGTAGGGTGCTACTTAAAGGATCATGGGACTTAGCAAGTATGGTTAGAAGTACCTTACTTGGGGTATAAGTAATTATACGTGTAGTTACCCTAGTTTAGCCCCGGTTACTAAGTCTCATGATCCTCCAAGTTCAATCGTGAACGCTGCAACCTACATAGGCCCTAAGCAATGACTGCAATGGTTTTTTGGAACCTGCTTCCGTTTTATCGCATTTTTGGTTTAGGGTTCATGGTACTGGTGTGTACTTACCATGTTTCACGTAGAACCTTACCATGTTTCACGTAGAACTAGAAAGGAGTGCCCTTTACCGGTCATTCAGACGCTTGTATCGCACCCGCGAATGATGGAGGGATCCTGATTCTGATGTGAGGTATATTCCTTATCTGAGGGGCTTTGGCGGCCCTAAACCCGAAACCTAAGCCCTCAACCGTAAGCCCGAAATCTAGGCCCTAAATTCCCTAAATACTACAAACCCTATAAACCCTATATGCCCTATAAAGCCAAAACCCGACACCTACGGTAGGAACCTGGTTAAGGTTAAGAAACCTTGGGTCGTTAATAGCGTTTTGTATATGAATCCTATTGTTTTGGGGTTATAGGCCCCAGGGTTTCTGAATCAGGCTCCTACGTTAGGGACCTCAAAGGATCTTGATGGACTACTTAAAGGGTCATGGGACTTAGTAACTCGGGTTATAATTAGGGTAACTATACTTATAATTACTTATAGCCCCAATTAGGGTACTTATAACCCTACTTACCAAGTCCCATGATCCTCCAAGTACTCTAGGGATCCATCTCCTACATTAGGCCCTAAACCCCAGCGCTCTTGCGGAGGATGGCTTCGATGCCTCAGACGCTGGGTTCGTGCTCTCTGCGATCGAAGAGGCGTGCGAGGACTACGGCTTTGCGGCGGCTCGGAGGCATCGTGCTTTTTGTGCATATCCCTAAGGGTCCAAGTACCTTATAATCATATAGTCTCCCAAATAGTGACCTGCGTAACTACTGTCTGAAACCTAAGTACCCAACTACTGGGTCCTTTGGACCCTTAGGGTTCGTAAACTCGAAACCAACGCCCCGAAGCTTCAACAGGTCCAAGTTTAGGGTTTCGGGTTTAGGCTTTAAGGGTTTAGGTTAGGCTTTCGGGTTCAGGCTTTAGGGTTTGCCGGTTGAGGGGAATTTGGTTTATAAGCCAGTCATGTGTAGAGCAAATGATGTGTGCCTGAAGGTGTTGCGAAGAAGAACGCATTGCGTTTGCCTGTTGCACCTAAGAAGCCCTAAACCCTAAACCCTAAAGCTTAAACCCTAAACCCTCTCTTTCAAAGGTATGCCTAAACCATGAGCACATTTTTCGTCAAATCCCACCGTTCTCAAGCAGATTTTCGTCAAATCCGACCGTTCGCCAGCAGATGTTCATCAAATCCGACCGTTCTCAAGCAGATTTTCGTCAAATCAAACCATTCTCAAGCCGATTTTCGTCACCTAAGGTTTCTTTTGTTATGGGGTTTAGAACGTAGGGCTTGGGCTTTAGGGTTTAGGGTGCTTTGTTTAGGGCCTAGGGTTTGGGATGTTGAACTAAGCTGAAGGGAATGATAAAACTGTTATTTCTTAATGTTTTGGGATTCGTTGGGTGGGTGGGTATTATTCCATGTTCTAAATAGCGAGCTCGACTAGAAACTGTTCGACCGAGTAAAACCTAAAACCCTAAACCCTGAAACCCTAAAGCCTAAACCCTGAGCTTGCGCTGACGTTGTTGGCATGTCCACTGCTAGCCCAAAGCTTGGGGTTCGCATCGAGGAATCGAGGGCTCCCCCATGGAGGGGTTTAGGGTTCAGGGTTTATCGTTTAGGCTTTTGGGGCTCAGGGTTCAGGGTTTAGGAAGCCATTCCGACAGACACGATGATTCAGAAGGTCAGCGACGCTATGCTGCGTCTTGTCATGTCGGGTCTGAGGGCCGACTTCGAAAGAAACGTTCCATCAAATCTGCGAAAAACCAAAAAACCCCATAGAACCCTGTAATTAACACCATACGCATTTCCTACGAAACAAAGAAATACACACACACACACACACAAACAGCCCTCACAACGCCTTAGAATGCCACATACAACACTTTCAAGGTCCCATAGCAAACCCTGCTATACAATGCCCTAAAACCCTAAAACAAAAAGAGTAAACATCGCCCTCTCAGCTCCGAGGTGGATGAACTCCGGGCCAGTGCAAAAGTCCCCATCCTCATGCTGAGAAAGGAGCCGGGTTTAGGGCTTTACTGGTCTCTGTGAAACCCAAAGAGCCCAATACCCCTTAATTAAGGAGTATAGCTTAAATCATAAGGTGAAGCTTTATATAACTTAAGTCATGTTCCTCAATCGAGGGGTATTGGGCTTTCTGTGAAAGCTTACGCAGGGGGACTTTAAACGTCGGACCAGCCCCCACGCCCTGAGTCGAAGTCTGTCAGTTGGCCTTAGCCTTAGACGTGCTGTTAAGACCCGTGTAGGAATCCCAATGACGAGACCGTAGTCAATCCTCTGTAGCCATGGCGCATGACCACGAGCCCTGCTGCGTTGCTGTTCAACCCGGGCTGTACGGCATCAGTCCGAATATGAAGGGGAACCCGAAACCCTGGACCCAAGTGCTGGCTGGAACGTGCACGTCGTGGCAGCTCTAGAAAAAAAGGGCTTCCACAGATAGGTTTATGTCCGTTGCGGAACCATACGGATGTGCACTTTGCCGACTTTCTTGGCTCGACTGCCCTGGACATGGCAAATTTGTGAAGGTCCTGAAATGCTCCTGGATGGTTCTATCGCTGCTGTCTGCTCACATGACCGTCGCCCGTTCGGGTGCACAGGGAAGGCATTGTGAAAAGGGGCTGCAGGGCAACACAATCGCTGTGGCGATGAGCGCTGCTCGGAGCCTGTGAGAGTCGTGCCATTGAAGGCATTGCGTGCGCTTCGCATGCAGCTTGTTGGTGTGGCGCCATGGAAAGGCAGGTGCAGGAGACACTGGCGAGGTAAGCATTGGTAAGCGATGTGGACGGGGTGCTCCTTTGCAGGGCTGGATTGCATAGACCAGGCGTTCTCAGACCATTTTTTTGAAGCAGCGTGGACGCATAAAGATAAAAAGAACCAAAAAGATGAAACATAAGACCTCAGTGCGAACTGCTCAGTGTGAAGAGGGTTGTATTATTATTGATGGGGCGTGAACTGTAGCATGAATAAGGAAGTAGGTTCGCACCGACGACTTGCGCATTCATCTGGCTACAAGTTAAGGTAGTAAAAAAAGGCCTCCTCAGAAGCGGTCTCTTGACCGCTTTTTCCTAACATGAGCACCCATGAACCCTGAACCCTAAAACTAAGCGTAGACAGGAGGCTGCTGTAGGGTTTAGAGTTTAGGGTCATAGGTACCTGCTACAAAATCAGCCTAATACCGGGGCCGGAACGAAAATTACTGTTCTCCTCATCGCTGGAGCTATATCCAAAACGCAAAAGCTTAGGCCCTATACAATATACCGTAGGACGGCTATGAGATCGACCTCAGCTTCGGGAACATTCTCCCCCTCCTGAACACTCGGCTCCTGCGAACATACGCCATGCTGGAGCTTCTCGCAAAGAATTTCAGAGGCGGGTTTCGGGTTCTGAGAGAAAGCTTGAGAGTTGCAGAAGAGTTCTGCACGGTAGTACAAGGGTTTGTTTTGTTTAGACTTTGGCTTTTGGATGGCGGTTCAGAGTATAGGTTTAGGGATCAGGGTTTAAGGCATAGGTGTTAGATTAAAGTTTGTCCTTTAGCGGCTTTGGGTGCGCGTAGGCTTTCCGGAGTTTCGGATTTCGGTTCTAAGGGTTGGGGTTAACGTTGAGGTGTTGGAGCTAGCATTGTTTAAGGTTCGGTGTTTCGGGTGTTGTTGCAGGAGCCTACTGAAGACCGAATTCCCTGAACCTGGTGTTGTCGTCGTTGCTGATGATGATGAGAATTAGTGCCAGCACGATGATGGTGGTGTTGAAGACGGTCATGGTGTTTGATATGTTGGTGATGTGGATGATGACGGTTACGATGATGATGATGATGACGATGACGGTGGTTTTGTCAGACCTTAAACCTTACACCCCAAACCCTAGGACCGTAAACCCTAAAGCCGACAACCGAAATCCCAAAGCCATGTGGGTGCTTGTCAAAATTATGGTCCCTTTTTGGGTCCCTATTATAATACGGCACCTAATATTTAGGATACCCCAAAAGGGACCCTAATTTTGACAACTACCCATGTAGTATCCGTGTAGGTCCCCCAAAGGAACCCTGAACGAATCCCTTCCTCACCCAGGCCCCGGGTGCCTCTTCTGACGACGGCGGTGAAGCGCTGGGCCAAGGGACAAGGCCGGATTATGCAGATTGCTTGGGTTTTGGGTTTAGGGTTTAGGGTTTAGGGTTTAGGGTTTAGGGTTTAGGGGGAGGTTCATGGGTAGTATGGGTCTTAGAAGTGTTATTGGATAGGCTGTCTTGGGTTCTTAGAGCTTGGTCGGGGGGTATAAAGTCCAAAACCCTAAATTCGAAACAGTATAGATGCCTTTAGAGGTGCCGGTCGGAAGCAACCCCCTTTGAGCTGTGCGCAACAACGAAAACCTCAACCCGAATCCTCTATCCTGCATTTTCATGTGCCGCGGAATGTTCTGCGGGGCGCACTCGGCTTCAATGCTGTAGAAATGGGCATCACCAAGCAAGATCCTAAACCTGAAACCCGAAAGCCTCGCCCTAAACCATTTCAAACAACCGGATGGCTCAGCCGTAAGCCTCACTTCGAGGATCGGGGGGATTGGTAAGTAAGGCTAGAAGTGCTTTGAAAAAGGGCGCATAAGTAATTCTGACTCCGGTAAACCCTACATACTACAGCATGCCAAACCTTTAAGCACTTTCTTTGTCGTGCGTACGCAAGAGTTCTCAGATGTCATCATCATGATGTATGTGTGTGTGTGTGTGCGGGTGTGTCGCCAGGCTCCGGACTCAAACCTAAAACCCCAAGCCAAATCACGAACCCTAAACCCGGAAACCCCAAACCTGTAAACGTCATCATTAGGTACCCTAAGCCCTAAACCCTAAACCCTAAGCCCTGAACCAAAAGCCCGAAACCCTCAGCCTAAACGCTAAGCCCGAAACCCAAGCTTCGCGTGGAGGTCTGGCGAAGACTTGGGATCGTTTCATCTCATCGTGCCCTGGCTTGACCTGACTTAAAGGGAACTCCAGAAAGTTGGAATATGGTTTCAGGGTAGGATACCCTATAATTTACCATAAAGGGTTTAGGATAATCATATTCCAACTTTCTGGCTTTTACTATAAACTCTTAGTCTTAAACCCTCAACCCCAAACCCATCAAGGAACCCTGGCGAAACATGGTGATACTGCTGATGGACAAAATCCTGCATGACCCTAAGGACTCTAAACTATGGGAATTATGGTATCTTCCTTATAATGGGCAATGCAGGATTTTGTCCATCAACAGTACCCCCCAGGCTGAACATGAAGGCCGAAACCGAGGAGCTTGTTTCAAGAAACGTGCGACGATTAAGTGTCCGAGCTCGTTGTTCCCTTTTTGTCTCCGCGGCTGCAACATCTCAAAACATGGCCTGCACATGGGTTCCCAACAGCTGACCAACTTAATGCAGCAACGGGTCTTGTTTGCTACACGTAGTCCTAAACCCTAAGCGCTAGAATTACCAATCCTAATCAAGGGCACAGCCCAAACCCCCTGAAGCCCGAAAACGTGGCCTCGCACCTACTGGGAGGTTCATGGGTAGTTATAAGTAGGGTTATAAGTAGGTTGACCATAGTTATAACCCATAAAAAGGGACTTATAACCCCACTTATAACTACCCATGAGCCTCCAAGTAGACCCCTGAAGCCCTAGACCCTAAACCCTAAAGCTCCAAAACCCTAGACCCCTGAAACCCTAAACCCCTAAACCCCTAAAGCCCTAAACCCCAAGCATCTGAGAAGCCCAAAAGACATAGACCCGAAACCCCCAAGCCCTGAACCCTGAGCACCAAACCCTGAACCAACGCCCAAAGCACTAAACATTACAGATCGAAAAGAGGCCCTAAACCCTAAACCCTAAACCCTTAAAAAAGAAAAAAACATAAGGTTTATGGGGATGAAGGAGGTTGCAAAGTTCGGGCTTTTCAAGGGGATTCTTTTGAGGATTTCGGGGTTGGGGGGTTTTGTAGGAGCTGCGGGCTTCAGGGGGGTTTCGGGGTGACGGATAGACATATGGAGAGTTGTCAAAATTGGGGTCCCTTTTTGGGCACCCTAGATAAACGGTGCAGTACAATATATTAGGGACCCCAAAAGGGACCATGATTTTGACAACCACCCATATTCCCGAGTAGCAGACCTCTCTGGCTGAAGGGCTGATGAGCATCCCCACCATAGTCTAAACCCTGAAGGCTAAAAGCTAAACTAAACCCGAAACCAAAAGATTCCAATTCGAAGGTATGCCTGGACCTTGATGGTGATCTACTTTCTGCAGATCTCTGGCAAACTTCCGTCATTGCATGCCACTTGGCTTCCTTCTTGGTTAGATGTTGAACTCTGTGGCGGCTACTTACAACCCTTCTTTGACCATGCACAATCCTACCAGAAGTAAAGGGTGAGTATTTTCGAAAGACGTATAGACTAGGGCTAAGTACGGTAGCCCTTATAAACATCCAGTATCCCTTTAAGTAGCCGAAAAAGCTCACCAAAAGCTACCCATGAACCTCCAAGTGGAGAAGCTACACCCTACCCCCCAAAACTAAAAACACGAAACCCCTAAACCCTGAACCTTTAAACCCTAAACCCTGAACCTTTAAACCCAAAACCCTGAAGCCTAAATCCCTAAACCCTGAACCTTTAAACCCTAAACCCTGAATCCCTAAACCCTAAACCTTTAAATCCTAAATCCTGAAGCCTAAACCCCCTAAACCCTGAACCTCTAAGTATCTTCTCCCTGTCGACCCCCTAAACCCCAAGCCTATAGATCCCTTATAGCCCTAGGTATTCCTTAATTAGGGGGGATTCCGGGCTAGTAGTACCCTTATTCCCTTTTTGTAGTCCTAGGTTCCTTCTAAAGTTACCCAATACCAAAAAGAGAGGCCTTTTTATTCTTAGGTTATTGGGTATCCTTGGTAAGTATCTTCTCCCGTCGAAGGCGCTGCGACAGACTCCTTCGACTCACGCGGCTTTCAACGACCAGCCCCGGGGCTTGGAAACTTCGAAGCGAAGGTTCGTTGAAAGGTAAGCTGAGAGGTTCAGGGTTCTTAGGGTTCGTAGGGCTTAGGGTTCTTAGGGTTTAGGATTCTTAGAGGTTTCGGGCTCTTAGGGTTTAGGGTTGTGAAATTTCCCTGTCTTGAAGGGCCGTGTTGACATGTCCTCATGCGAGCGTAGTTTTTCATGTTTAGTTCTGGACGCACCCTGTATGACAGACGTCTTGGGCTCAGACCAAAAAGTGCGCTCGTTGTGTGGTTGGACACTCACTAATCCAGTTCCTGCTTCAAACTGGTAGCGGAGCTGTGAGGACAACCACTAGTGTTTCACCCCCGTTGAGCCTGAGGTCCGGGGTCCGTTGGGTAGAGTAGTGATAGTCGTGGAGCAGAGGCCCCTTCTATCCTCGAAGCCATGAGCGTGGCAGGATTGCGCTACCAGCCCAATCTCTGGTCACAGAACCTGAGCCCTGCCGAGACCAAAAGCGGCTCGTACATATACGACGGGTCAGCTGCTGGGTTCCACGATTGGTGCTTCCGGACACAGATCCGCGTGCTGCAGCATAAGGAAAAGCAGCGGCGTGAAGCTTTGAAGGACTTGCGTTTTGCTGAATCGGCAAAGTCCAAAAGCGAATCACCAAGGAAGTGGCGCGGCAGAGCCAGTCAAGCGACCAGTGCACACCCCACCGAGGGTGATGCGAGCAGCGGTATACCCGCTAGTCCGTCCAGTGCAAGGCGGACTAAGCCCGTGTCCGAGGCAGAAGATGAGGATGCGGAGTCGACCGTCACACCCCAGTCAGGTGACGGGCGACGATGAGCAAGAGCCGGACACAGATCCGGCGGTGTACACGTTGCAAGACGTCAAAGACGAATCGCTCGACATGAGCGAGTGCGTCAGCAAGATTTTGGAAGGTCTCCGAGGGGATGCCTTCTGCATTGCACGCGACGTCGGTTTGGAACGTTTGCTCCGGCATGACGGCATTGACTACCTGATAGAGGAAATCAGGAGACAAGCCTTCCCTCTTCAATCCGAAGAGGCGTCCGAACTTTTCCGTCAGGGACAGCTCCTGACGGGCCCACTTGCAAAACAGCCTGGCGAGCCTATGTTGTCTTACATAGCCCGCCGAAAGAGGTGGTGGTCGACCTTGCGAGAGCTGGACCCTGATATCCGTCTTTCCGAGACAATGAGAGCTAACCTCCTTGTTGAGCTTTCGGGATTGGATAGGTCCGAACAGCTAATGGTCAAGACCGCTGCCCGCATGCACAGTGTGGATGAGTACGCACGCGTCCTTGTTCAGCACCACTCAGTGGTGCATATGAAGGAACGTCTTCTGACTCAGAAGGACCCTAGTGGCCCAGGTAGGACCTGGAGACGTTTTGACGCTAAGCCCCAATATCCTAAGTTCGGTTACATGGGATATGACGGCAGTGCCCTAGAGTATGACCACCAGGAACAGCACGAATCCGCGGAAGGCTACGGTGACGGCTACGGTGATGAAGCGTACCAGGCCACAGCGTCTGGGGGAGGTGATGATGAATGGATCGATGATGAGGATCTAGCATTGCAACTCAACGCCTATACGGCGGTGGCATACGAAGCTGAGGTTGATGACTTGGACGATTCCTACGCCGAGTCAGTTCAGCTTGCATACGCGGCACAGACCGCATTTGCCCAGGCAAAAGGAAAAGGAAAGGGGAAGAACAAGGGCAAGCCCACCGGGAAATCCGGCGGGAAGGTCGTGCGTAGTAACCTGACTATTGCTGACCGCAAGGCTAAGCTTGCAGAGCTTAAGGCTAAGAGTAGGTGCTTGAAGTGCGGTGTGATTGGCCATTGGGCCGGAGATGCTGCCTGCAAGTTTAGCGGTAAGGGCAATGGTCCCAAAGGAACCGCAACCCCAGCACAGTCTGGGGGAACTGCCAATGCAGCCGCAAAGTCGGCGGCGCCGAAGCCTCAGGCGTATTTCGCCGCAGTGGAGGAGGATGACACAGAGTGTGTCCATCTGTCGAATGCGAGCGCTGGTAGGCTCGAGGGTTACCCAGCCAACCTTGAGCTGACTCCCTCAAAGACCAATACCGGTAAAGGCCGCGGCAGTGAAACCCTCTTCTCACCGCAGCTTCGGCGCACAGCCGCCGCAGGGATCATGCGTGATAGCCCCCCTCCGAGTTCTGATCGCGTTTTCTCTTTCGGCCAGCATAAGGGGTTGACGTATGAGCGAGTTCTCTACACATACCCCGGGTATATCCTTTGGGGACGCACGCAGAAGTGCCCATCCATAGGGTTGGCTGACTTCCTGAATTGGACCACAGAGTACTTTGATGTGCGTGATGATACCCCCATCAGTATTACGAGAAGAGATGTTCCTCTCAGTCAGGAGCCCCCGCCTGAACCCTTTCAGCCCGAGGTTCGCCTCGCCGCCTCAGCTGCTTCGTCCAGCGAAGGCCCCCGGAAATGCCGGGGAGGGTGCAAGGAGTTCAATAAGTCGGGAAGCAACGCATACATAGACATGCGGACTTGCAAGAAATGCGGCACAGTTACAAAGACGAAGAAAGAGAAGCCTGTCATAGACCAGGCCACATGCCCACACACTTCCACAGAGAGGTCGGGTAGTAGCAGGAAGACTTCCCGCATTAAGTGCAAGCTTTGTGGGATGCTTCTAGATGAGCAGCCGCAGACCGAGCGAAAGGCTAGGGATGACGCAGCCACAGTGCTGCGGGAGTCCAACACCCTGGACTTCGATCTCCTGCGCAGCATAGTCGGCAGCACGGGGGAGAGCCTCCCCGTAGAGGTAGTAGTTCCGGCTATTGCCCAGTTTCAAGAGACCGTAGAGGGTCACTTCGTAACCGAGCCCGTGATATCTCGCGGTGACCTTCTCGCATACCTGCAAGAGGCCTTAGATGACCGCTCAGCGCCATCGACCAACAACAGTTGGGAAGTGGCGTCGGCGAGGTCGCGCTCTTCGAGGGCCTCCGCGACGAGGCACGCCTTCGTAGCTTTTACCGAGGGGGTCACAGATATCCATCCGGCTTTGGTTGATTTGCCCGTAGTAAACATCTACGAGGACGAGCATGTATACGCCGTGTTAGATGAGGGATGTAACTCGACTGTTCACGGTAGCGATTGGATAGCAAACGCGGCAGGGAAACTTGCGAACTTCGGTTACAGCACGAGGTTTAAGCCTGAAGGGAATCGTACCTTCAAGGGTCTTAGCGGCGCTACCGAGACTTTGGGTAGCAGGACCATACCTTTCTCTATAATGGGATTGGAGCAGGACTTGAGAGTTCCAGGCGTCCTTGATTCGCATGAGATTAAGGGTACCGCCCCTCTTCTCTTGTCCCTTTATGCGCAGGCCCAGCTTGGTATAACCAAAGATCTACGGTTTGGCGTGTGTGGTGTTCGGCTTCCTTCGGAGGACACAATCATCAAGATCAAGTTGTGTCGGACACATGACTCAGGGCTGTTGTGCATAAACATAACAGAAGGCTTGATTCAGGTTAAGCAACCCCGCCTCATAAAGGGTTTCCAGATTCCCTCGCCGCCAGTCCCTATGTTTAGGTCTGCCGCCGCTGCCACGTTAGCTCACTCAGGACCTGTGAGCGGACCCCCCGGAGATGCAGCAGCGACAGATGATGCAGCGGCAACAAGTCGCAGTCACAGTACTGTAGGTGCAGGCCACGGTCACAGCACTGTAGGCGTAGGCCACGGTCACAGCTTCACAACGTCAGCTGAGAATCGCAACAACACTAAGCGAAGTATAAGTGTAGCGTTCCCTAATCATTGTATGGTAGGCACGTCCGTAGGAGACACGGAGCCCACCGCGATGGCCGCAGCAGAGGGGCAGCTGCCTAAGAAGGCGCCTCCCACGGCGAAGGCTGCACCGAAGGCACCTGCAGCGCCGGCGCCTGGCCACAGTGCCACGGCGAAAGCACCCTCGGGCGGCTATAATGCCGCTCCCGATCCTGTGCCCCAGCCGAAGGCGCCGCCCGGCTATGTGTCGGCGACCGCGCCAAAGGGGCCGCCACCTGGGTATAACCCGGGATTCCCCCTGCTCGTGCCACAGTGCACCCGAAGACTATCGCCCAAGGCCACCGCGACTTGGCCGCCTTCGATGCGAGAGTGAAGCGAGACCCGCATGGGCGACCCCTGGTTATAATGCCAGGTGCTGGACCGCACGGCCCCGAGCTGGACACGCCGTTGCCTGCATCCGTGTATAATCCGGATTTGAAGCTGCAGCCACACTATGCGGGGGATACAACGAACCCGGACATCATCATTGATGTTTTTACATGGGGTTTCGACCACCATGCCTGGTTGCAGCGTGTCAGGGGCAGGTGGACCGCTGATGAGCTCTTCGCACAGCACGAAGAGATGGAGACATACGCCATAACGACGCATGCATCTGCCACTAGCTATATCCTAGTGATGTTGGACATGGTGTGGCTAAAGGACGACAGGAGGGATGGCATGACGCCCGCCGAAGCCCAACGTGCCAGCGATGAACAGAGGGACCGCACAAAGCATGTTGGGTCGGAGGTCGAACCCCGATATAATTCGGGAGAATGCCGAGCACCCGAACCTGATCGCGCACGCCAGGCATATTCTGGCGAACATCCTTGATGCCAAGGATGCGGGAATCAGGTCCATTGCAGTCCACGTAGTTTGCAAGGCCAACAGACACAGATCTGTTGCGTCGGGTATCCTTACCCATGCAATGCTCATGGAGCTGGTGCCGGGCTGCAATTAGCCTCACCCACATGAGCGCGGCAAATAGCTGGCCGTATATGGGGCCAAAGGCGTGCAAAGGACAGTGCCCTCGGTGCTTGCATCGTTCTCCGGGCGTTGTCGAGGAGGTCAACGAGCTCTTGAAGGTTTTCGTTGACGCCGTCCGCACAGCCGGACCGGAAGACAACGAGTGTATTCTTGTTGTTGAACCGCGGTGTGCACGCCCCGAAGATCAGCCTACATATGCTGAGAGGTACCATGAGCGCATGCTC